TATAAGTTGCTTTGAAATATAAGTCGCACCACATTTTAGATGATAAAACACAACTTAAATATAACCTATACAAAACAAACACAATAACTGTTGTTTATCTTTACTGCTTTGATTATTGTTGAAGTGTTGTGAAAGTGAGAGAAAAAGGTTCACATGCAAGTTTAAAAGCAGATATCAAAGAAAACTCTACAGCATGAACATGGACAGAAACTAATGCTGTTTTCACCTTCATTGTTGTATTCCTGTGCCCTTTCTCTGTAAACTCAACAGAAACACACAAAACCAGGCCAGAAATGTGCTTTACACAAGTACACAGACATGAATGCTTGGCCAGTATATTAAAATGATGTGTTCCTGTACACGATAAACCTGCATTCTTCAGTAGACTTCAGTTAGACTCAAATATCTGACACTAAATGTTATGTTGTTAACTCTTTCATTTTACATTTAGTTTAATGAATTGTTGGTTCATCATGACAGTATTTGATCAGAAAGACAATCTGACCACAGAAGAAGAAGGATTGCATGTTTGCATAAATGTGTAGAGTATGTTTCTAGCCCAGTGTTAATTTTGACAGCAAATTTTGATTTAATTTTAGTCATAGTCTTTAGTTTTAGTCATATTTTAATCATCTTTTTAGTTTTAGTCGACTAAATATCATACGATTTTAGTCAACTAAATCAACAGTAAAAATGGGGTTAGTTACAGTGTAATGCATTTATTAAGCATTTCTCTAAAATTTCCAAACTTATTATATAGGTTTGATATTAAGGTTAGTGATATTAAGCACAACATGCCTTTATGTTAAAATGAAATAAAACCATTTCTCATAAAGAACATGGTCTTCTTTTTAATGAAATACCAATGGTTATATTGGCTAATCATGCATCCTTTATAGCAACTTTACCATATTCCTTATTCTTTCAAGCAGACATATTTATTTCTATAAATACATTTAGATTCATCTTTTGGGCTACTAAAGTTTTTCAGTCAAGAGCAATGCGTGATTTTCTGTCTTTCTTTTGTTGCTTGATTAACATCAAAGACTCGGACAATAGCAACTAAATTATGCTGCTATCCCTTTAAAACCGAATGTGCAGCTGCAATGGATGCAATGTACTGATGATACACGTTCTCCCTACTGTTTACGTTCACTTAAGATGTAATCAACTGTGTTTACTCACAATACTCACAATAGTTGTGAGTCAAAATGGACAATTCAACATCATTTTGTGTGTAATTCTCCGTTCATGCGACACGCTGTGAGACGCGCTTTCTGTGTGTGTATGCTTCAGTGTCTGCGCTCAGAAAACCAGACTGAGAGTTCTCTCTTGCGTTGTCAGATTTATCCATATGTCTGCTCCTCTCTTACATATTGACATTTTTTAACGTTTTATGAGACGTGCAGCAAGTGTATGTTAGCTTATGTCCCGCCGGTTCATATGTACGCATCTAACCTCCGAACCACGCAGCAGATTCGTTCTGAATGAATGTCTTTCCAAATCGTCCCTCCCTAACATTTTCATCTAGTTTTTATTCAGACGAAAATGTCAATACATTTTCGTCATAGTTTTTGTCATTCAAAAAGAGTTTTAGTTTGTTATAGTCTCGTTGTCGTCAACTAAATTAACACTGTTCTAGCCACACAGACACAGCACATTTCTATTTCTAGATGAGTCTTTTTTTCTTCTCTGCTCTCAGATCTGGCCGTTTATCTGAGGAATAAGGACAGCTGAGCGTGTGTGTGTGTGTGTGTGTTATCGCTTTCTATCAGTCAGGTGGCTTATTCTGAAAAGCTATTTCCCTCCTGATACTCACCAATTTCCAGTTTGCAGCTTTGCACTGATGTTCGTGGAAATAGAAGTGACATGTTTCTGTCACAAAACCATAACAACACAATTCGGCTGAATTATTGCACTTTAAACACTTCAGTTTGACTCCTGCAGACTTCCACCTTTATACTGAAGTTAAACATGCGCTTGTTCTGTGTAAGAAGATGCTTTCACTGAGGTCCTCTCCGTAAGCGCAGCAGTGTGATTGCACATTGTGTGTGCTCAGTGCTGGTCTATTGTTTGGAGACTGGCAGGCGTTAACAGCAGAGCTGTGTGTCTGTCTCTGGTTAAGCTGCAGCGTGTGTCGTTTCATTAGGGTTTATCTCTGTGTAGGTTAATTACATTACAGGCTCGTAAGAGTGCGTACACAACACACATCAGTCGTCACGGTAACGAGACCTGTTTTACAGCACTTCATGGTGCACCATCAAAGCCTTTACTGCACGTCCTCCTCCTTCATTAAAGTCTTTGTCACATGACTGCAGTCAAGCACACTCGTCTGTAGAAGTGAAGTGTGTCGTCTCGCAAGTGCCGTTACTAGATGGAACTGTAAAAATAAAGAAAAATCAGTTACACATCAGAAAGCTGATTTATTGCAGTCTTTTTTATCTTATCTTATCTTTCTACAGAACCGCTTGTCCTGTGTAGTGTCAAGGGAATAATGGTGCCTTTATTATTTTTATTTTATTTTATTTTGTATAGATTTTCCAAGCTATCTAGGTGTGTGGGGAAACAGGAGCCTATATATGTGTGTGTGCATATATTGTATTGATTTTTTTTTTTTATCGATTTTACAAGCTATGTAGGTTTGTGGAGAAGCAGCCTACATTTACTTCGCACTCCCTGATTTTCTTCTCAGCTGTTTCATAGATTTATTGCAGTCGCCGTTTCAACAGTCTCAAAGAGTTTCAGTCAGCTGGTTAATCTTCAGCTATTTCTGAAAATAAAATCAACACTTTCTGAATGTTTTCCCAGTCCAGCGTGTTTACTGGCCACACACACAGAGAGACACATGCTAAAGGTAATCTCCATAATCCTCCCCACTGGCACAGTGTGTTTCTGCTGCTTTATGAATAGTGTAAACCAGAGTTATGATTGCAATACAGACACACACACAGAGATATGATGCGATGTATCATAGCACAGATATATCAGCAGAATAGAGGAATTACACTGCAGTGTTATCTGGTTCCTGCTCAAAGGTGTGATTCACACAACTACCAAAATAATCCAACACTCTCAGATATAGAGACATACTGGATTATATAGAGGAGAATGTGTGTGTGTGTGTTACAGTGCTGTAAGACTGAATATAGACCAACAAAACAAGACTTTGCATTCAAAATTAAATCGCTTCCTTTGCAGTTAATAGAGCTGTTTCTTCAGTTTTGGCTGACAGATGCCCTGTTTTAAATCATCCTTTAAAAAATGTAAATAAATGCGTTTGTATGGATATATTTTTGTCCGTTTTGTTATATATTTAAAACTCCTTGCTGATTGTGATGTTTCTGGCTTACTAATCATCTTTTATTTCTAACTGTAAGATCAGTTATATTATATTATATTTAGTGCTGTGAAACGATTAATCGCATCCAAAATAAAAGTTTTTGTTTACATATGTGTGTATACTGTGTATATTTATTATGTATATATAAATACAAACGCATGCATGCATATATTTAAGAAAAATATGTTGTTTATATATTAAATATATTTATATAAAATATAAATATATAAATGTATATACATGTAAATATTTTCTAAATATATACTGTATGTTTGTGTATTTATGTATACATAATAAATATACACAGTACACACACATATATGTAAAAAAAAACTTATGTATGATGCGATTAATCGTGATTAATTGTTTGACAGCACTAATTATATTATATCTATTTTAATTTTAGTACAAGTTTATGTAATTTTTAGTACTTTGTTTTACGTATAGTATATATAGTACATCAAGTTAAACTAAATGAAAATGATACATGTTGTAACTAGGTTAAATAATGATGTTTTTTATATTTGATTTTATTTCTGTGAATATTTATTTTATAAGTGACTAATAAACTAAGTATTTCTGAATATAATTTTATGATAATTTATAAGACCAGCTGATTGGTCTATGAGGTACTTCCTGTGTAGACAGGATGTTAGTGTTATTTTTCCAGTTTTTCGATAGCACAGTTCTGAATTCGTTGTTAAACATTCAAATGTCAATTAATTCACAGGGAGTCACGTGACCTTATTCCAGCATGGCAAATCTCATCGAGGAAACAACATTTTATTCATGTAGTTCATTTGGAGCAATTCTCTGAAACAAGCCCCCATTACGGCAAAAACTCACATTCTCATTACAGTGAAAGTGTCAAACAGCTGCCCTACGGCGCTCTTCAATTCCTCCTCGTGAATTCAGACATGTCGATTCAGATGAGAATTAATTTAACATGCGACCTCGATGTTTGTCAGAAACACTAGCGTATTCGGTCTGGAATATTCTCCTGGGCTTTTAGGAGAAAATCACTGACATTTCCGATTCAGACGGCAATAAAATCACAGACCAGCAGCTGTAAGAGCTGAAATTACCTTAAACAATCACAAAAAAACAATTACCATCTGAATAAAGCCCTTGATTTTATTCTGCTGAGGCTTCCCTGCTGTTTCAGTCACTCACACACTTCATAATAACAGAAGAATCACGAATAAGAGCTTTCATATCTCAGTTATTTCTTCTAGATAGCATTGAGATCTCAATATGAACAGATGATTTCAACTGCTCTACATTGAATTCATAGCTCTAGACTCTAATTAGATGGCAAGTTACTCATTTAGGTCTGGGATTTTAGGTGAAACATATTTTATTGACAACAAAAGTTAACTCCATTAAGTTTCCAGAGCCGTGAAGGAGAAGCTTTTGTGGAATGAAATGTTCTTCTGATCTCTGACCTGGGTCTGTTGAGTCTCTCTGTTCAAGGACTGTAATTGTTTCTTTGTAAATAGAAATGAGCATTGTTTGGAGAGCAGAATGTTATCAGAGTTCCTCAGTGTGTGTGTGTGTGTGTGTCTGTGTCTCCTGCACAACTATTGTGAAGTCAGACAGATAAATATATCATCAGCTCACAGACGTGCTCATTTAAATGTGTGTTTGTGTGTTTCTGTAGGCTGCAGCGATGCTGATTTGAAAAGTTTAGCATCCAGACTCAAAGACTGGTTCGGGGTTTTGCACACAGACGCCAACAGAGACCTTAAGGGCACCACGAGTGACACTGCACAAGGACGTAAGTGTGTTTATGTGTTCAGATCAATCTCAGAGTCACTACCACTTTATTAATGCTTTTCTGTCCACTATATGAAGAGTTCAGATGCAGAAGCCTCTAAGTGCATTTTTATCAGGCTCCTGTGTGTAGGTTCAGTAATTTCACTTGAACAGGCAATGCATAGTTTTTTTTTTTTAAATAACTGAACATAAACATAGGAGCCTGATAAAAATGCTCATTTTAGAAGAAAATTTCAGACGGCACTTAGAGGCTTTTGCATTTGAACTCTTCATATTATTTATTATTATTTTACTTGTTTGCTTGTCTGTGGAAATCTGCAGAGCTTCACATATTTGTGTTGGAAAGAAATGTTGCCTTTGCAAATGACATATGTTGAAGTTGAAGTACTAAACTTACTAAAATGGAAATATAAAAGCTGCAGATTTTCTGTCAGATCTAAAATCTACTGACAGATTTTGTCACAGTAATGTCATTTTTCTGTTCTCAAATATGTGAAGCTCTGAAGATTTCCACAGAACTGGTAGTAGTACACGAAACGTTGTGTTTATTGTTACATTTACTGGTTTTAAGAGGTTAAAATAAATAAGTAAAGAAAATTTAAATGTTTAAACTGAAACGTTTAAGCTGACGTACTATGCTTACTAAAAGTAATAAAATGGCAAAAGAACATAATAATAATATTACTGAAATAAATAAATAATCATTTTAATTCACCTGTAGCAAATTTGCTCAAAAGGGAAATGTATATAAATAATTACAGTTAATTATGATTAATTACAATTATTTATATCAGCTGCCAGTAGTAACTGTAGCAGAATTAAATCCAGCGAACATTCTGTGTAAGTTCATATCAATTCTAGGAAGGATATTTCCGTGACCACAGAAAATACTTTCATACAGTATTAATGCTAGGGATTTAACGATTCACTCAACTCACGATTCGATTCGATTCACGATTTTATTTTTATTTTTACAAAATGAGATTTAAGACAAATTACAAATTAAATGTGTCCTTTTATTATTGCTTGGACAAAATGCTGCATGTTTCTTTGTGAAATTGAAATATAACTATAATAATATACTAATATAGCACTTGTATATTATTGCTCTTTTGTTGGTTTTGATTGCTTCTATTGTCCTCATTTGTAAGTCGCTTTGGATAAAAGCGTCTGCTAAATGACAAAATGTAAATATAATGTAAATGTAAATAACAAAACTAAATTGAAGTTTTAAAACAAGCCCCAAATCAAATAAATAACACAAATAAAATATAATATATAAACAAACTGTGCTCTTTCCTTTTAAAATTAGAAGCAACCACTGCATTTTAATCATGATCCAAACAAAGATGCTGCATACATGCAACATGAGCAGTTTTTAATCTAAACTACATTGTATAATTTCGAAATTTGAAGCAAAAACAGTGAAACTATACATAACAAATATCTGCATGAAAGCAGACGAGCTGAATGAGACGCAGATTCACTCTCTGCCAGCAGGTGGCGCTTAAAGCGTTTCATTGGTTTCTGCTGTAAACAACTTTAATATGCATTATACAGAGGCAAGATGAAAAGAAAAAATACCATCTAAATTTTTCTAAAGACAGTAAGTTCCCCTCAGACATGCATTCATATAAACTCCTACCCCTAATTGAATCGCGATTTGTTTAGCATCTCAACCGATTTGAATCGTCACATATTTAAATCGATTTTCGTTACATCCCTAATTAATGCATTAGAGCATGTAGTAAGGATCAAAATCGTAAAGGCACAATTAATTTGCAAGGCAGAATCAGAAACTCATGTAATTTGTGCACAAGAGTTTTATTAACTAAACACTAACACAAACTAGTCTAACAAACAAACAAACATACATACACCCACTCGAGTTCCATATGCAAATTACCATGCTCTCACACAAAGAGTCATAAAACTCCCCAGTATTTCCAACCTCCCGCTTGGAATTTCAGCTTTTCTCATTGGACAAGCCCATCCTGAGAGGCGTGAATCTTCTCAGACCTTAAAAGGCTCACGCACAGTTCCGCCCATGTTGTTTTTTTCTTCTGCTAAGTCTTTATTTGTACTTTTTATTTTATTGTAGTATTAAAACCAATAAATATAACACAAAGAAGAGTGAATCAAAAAGATAATTTATTTATTTAGTTACTTACGTATTTATTTATTGTAATACGTTTGTCCACCAGTGTGAACCTGACCGTCTCTCTCTCTCTCTCTCTCTCTCTGTCCTGTAGGTTTCGACACCAGCATTTTGCCCATCTGTAAAGATTCTCTCGGGTGGATGTTCAACAAGCTGGACATGAATTACGACCTTCTGCTCGACCAATCAGAGCTCAGTGCCATTTACCTTGACAAATACGAGCTGTGCATGCGGCCACTGTTCAACTCCTGCGACTCCTTCAAAGACGGAAAGCTGTCCAACAACGAGTGGTGCTACTGTTTCCAGAAACCTGACGGTGAGTTATACGACATTATACATATACATTATATTGGGCAGTATTTCACAATGGGGAGCTAGGCATAATTTGAATTAGAAAAGTCACAGACACTGGAAACTGTTAAATGTGTTTCTCCAGGCATGCCGTGTCAGAACGAGATGAACAGAATTCATTCTCAGAGCCGGAGGAAGACTCTGATAGGTGGGTGGATTTGATGAACAGCTGTTAGCTCCTCCCCCTGAATCCAGCATGAAACGATTTGTAATTGTGTGTGTGTGTGTGTGTGTAGGGGCGTATGTGCCGCGCTGTTCTGAGGACGGGTATTTTAAGGCCACTCAGTGTCATGGCAGCAGCGGTCAGTGCTGGTGTGTCGACAAATACGGCAATGAGATCGCAGGATCCCGCAGACAGGGAAACCCTACCTGTGGTACAGACACTAAAACACACACAGCCTGCTTCACACATCAGTCTTGTTTTAGTATTATCTACTGTATTTATTCATATTTCACATAGCTGTTTGCACCTCGCTCTTTTGTCACTTAATATTTTATTTTGGTGCATCAATCTATTTAATTACTTAGTATATAAAACTATGATCCACACTCACAAAAACAGTCTTCTTTTAATGTTGTGTTTTACAATCACCAGCAGGTTCAGGTTGCTGGTGATTGTAAAACACAACATTAAAAGAAGACTATTTTTTGTGAGTGTGGATCATAGCTTTACATATTAATATTTTAAATTATATTTTATTTTAATATTTTCATCTATCATTTCAGTTATTTTTAGTTTTTTTTTGTGTGTGTTTTTGCCCTTTTTTTTCTCTGTAATTTTAGTACTTCAATTTAAAAAAAATCCATTAATTTACCAAAGCAACATTTTATGCTTGTTTTTATAGTTATATTTTATTTCATTTTAGCTTTATTTCAGTTTACATTTCTAAGGCCCGGTGCCAGGACACACAACTTGGGGGGGCTTTTTTTATTTCTTAGGGGGGGCTGAATCGGGAATCGAGCATTCATTATTTTCAAGTGAACGCTCAAAATACATTATTTGAGTAACACTTTACAATAATTAACTAACACATTAATACTTTAGCTGACATTATCTAATCAAACGTTTTTGTAAAGTGTTACAATTATTTATTATTAAAGCATATATATGTTCACAAAACACTGTTAAATTAAACAGAAAAACACCCAATACAAATAATAACCTTTTCCTTACCTAAATTCTGCGTTTGGACCAGACTCGGTTGCAGAATCACTTCTGTGCTTCTGAAATTATTATCTTTTTCTATATAGTGTACTAGTTTTGCTATTTCTGTGTCCTACGTGGCCGCTTTTCAAGCATGAAAAAGTTATTTAAATTCTGAAAATATTATCGTATACAGCATGCAAAGAGTGCTCCCTTTAAATTAATTAAAAACTGTCACTCATTCATCACGATCTCACAAAGTAAAAAACAAACAAAAAAAAACAATGAATGTGACTACACGATTAAACTTTTTTTAATGTCTTTGTTAGAAAGAAGTTACGAGCATGATAGAACTCATCACTGGACAAAAAGCGGTGAGTGCGTGGATTCCAACCTAAACAACTCTGATTGGCCATTGCGTTTTAGAAATCAACAAACACGTCTGTGATTGGCTATATTGCTCACATCTGCAGCCTCTGGCACGGGCCTGTATATATATATATATATATATATATATATATATATAAGCTTTATTTAATTTACTGAAAACAATTTTTAATGGCTTAAGTTTGTGTTTTTGTTGTTTGTTATTTTATAATTTTTTTTGTTTTTATTTTTAATATTTCTATATATCTTTAATTTGTTCTTATTTCAGTTTTACTTTTAGTAATGGTAGTACTTCAACTTCAGCTTATCGATAGATAGATTATTTCTGTTTTAATAATTTTAAATAATTTTGTTTTATTTCAGTTAATTGTTGAGGCAACATTTCTAGTTTTTTTATTTTAAGCGTTTCATATATATATATACAGTATATATATGTGTGTGTGTGTTTGTTTTTAGCTTTATTTCAATTACTGAAATTACTGAACTTTTAATAATTTTAGTAATTTTATTGTGTAGATTTTTAATATTTCTATAGAACTTTAGTTTGTTTTTATTTCAGTCTTAGTTTAAAAATGTTAGTACTTTAACTAATTTCATTTAGTTGCCAAGGCAACATTTCAAATTTTCCTTTTTTTTTTCAAGTTTAAGTTTTTAATATGATTATTTTAATATTTAATATTATTTTTTATATTTAATAGTAATATTTCTATTGTATTTAATTTAACTTACTTTGAAAATGTTTAATTTGAGTTTTAGTCAACACTGATATACACACACACATTTTGATTCCTGCAGCAAACTCTGACATCTGAAGCTGCATTATTCAACAGTGTTTCTTGAGTTCTCTGTCAAAATGTATAAAATATCATATTTTATATATAATAAATGATCTTCCTCAGAACACACACGTGCACCCGCTATCTATCCGCCTGACACCTTCCCTTTCATCTGCCTCTGTGTGTGTGTGTGTGTGTGTGTAGACGAGGATCAGGAGATGTCTGGAGATTTCGGCAGCAGCGGCGGCGGCGCCGTCATTCTACTGGACGATCAGGAGGAGGAGTCTCCACAGCGTGGGCGGGGCCGACAGAAAGAGAGGCGGGGTCGACTCCACCCCCGCGGGGCGATCGAGGACGACGAAGACGGCGAGGACGACGAGATGGGCTACGTCTGGTAGCTCCGCCCACCCATCTTCCACTAATTAACCAGGGACCCATGTTAAAATGCACAGTTCTGAAGCCATTCCAGCTCCGCCCCCTCAGACACGCCCCCTTCTTCTCATTCTGGATCTAAACTTGTCCTTCTCATTCTCTCTTTCTCTCTTTCCTCAGCCGCCTCTTCATGTTCTGTCCTCTGTTTTCCCTCATTCAAACTCTCCTGGATCACTCTTGTGTATTCTAGACCGGCTCTAGACGGTAGACGTGCATGACGAGATTGTTCAGCATTTCGGGGGCTTCATACCAGTTCTACATAGGATCTTTTTAAAGGGTTCGTTCTCAGTGGTGATGTGCATGAACGCCACTGCTGAATGCAGGAGACGACGTCTGAGACCTTCGAGGGCGAGGATCAGGTGGGCTTAAGCCAAACGCGCACTACAAGACCGAAGCTCATTGTGCTTTCATGTTTTAAATCTGCCACAAGAGGCTGCGGATCGTAGTGAACTCACAGCATTAATGTTCGCTCTGTGTGAGACACACTACAACTTATCACAGATGCTACAATACTAGTTAAAATCTCAAATCTGAGCAAAGAGCAACAAGGTAATGAGATTGCAGGAGAAAGAAAATGGTGAATTTCTCCCAAAGCACTGGCTCATGCATTTTTTGGTTTATTTTTATTTTTTGTTGCATGCAAAAATGACCTGAAAGCCCTTCCTTTTGTGTGAGAATGAGAGAGTTTGTGCAGGATGATCTTGTAATTAATGCATGTAGACTGTATTAGTTGAGTAAAATGTGCACAAAAACAACACAAGAAACGGTGTAAATGTGCAGAGCGATGAGCTTCAGTCGGGTTGTGTGTGCTTGACTTTATGCTGCTTTCACGTCAGTTCACAATTACTGTAATTATAAGTAGCAAATCCCATGCATGCGACTGTGAACTTATAGTTGAAATTCATTGCAAAAAGTGCTGCTCTTGTTCAGTATTTTTGTCTTGTTTTATAGCACAAATTTGATTTCAGTTGCCAATACAACATTTATATTTTATTTTATTGCAGCTTCATTTCAATTTTCAAAAATAATTTCTAATGGTTTTAGTAATTTTGTCATTTTTATTTTTTTATAATTAATATTTTTACATTTTAAAATAAATGGATAATTAATATTATTGATTTCGACCTAGCTTTTTATTTTAGTTTGTCATTTTAGTACTTTTTAATTAATTTCGGTTAGTTGCCCAGGCAACTTTTCTAATTTTCATTTACTTGATATGCAGAATGACATAGGATATTGAGTTTATGCTTAAAAGGAGAAAAACATCTGCCAGTGGAGTCAGAAAAATAATCTTCATTTGAATGAACTTGACTTCAAGATTCTTTTTCTGACCCTAATGGCAGACATTTGTTCTTCTTTTAAGCATAAACTCACTTCATTTTGCTCAATTTGTCTGAAAACAAGAACAAATATCTGCAAATGGGGTCAGAAAAATCATCTTGTATGTTTATTTTTCTGACCCCATTAGCAGATAGTTGTTCTTGTTTTAAGCATAAAATGTAAAAATCTTAGAAAACAAGACTTAATATGTCATTTTGGATTTGAAGTTAATATTTAGAATATTTTGATGTTTATACGGGAAAATATATCAATATTTTGATGTTTGTTTTCCAACATTTTGCAAAGGAATCTGAGCATAAATTCATGTGTTCACTATCACGAATGCCACAGTAAGAAACACCATCTGTGTCCAGGCATGTGAACAGAATCTGGTAATTGCAGTAATTGCGACGTGATGTGAGCGCGCCGGCTGTGAGCCTGATATTATCCTTTGTTTGTTGTCTTCAGCTGATGATTTAGTTTCAGAGTCCTTCATTCTGATTTGTTGTTTTTCTTTCACCGTCTCGGAGTGTTTAAGTGGATCGTGACCTTTGCGTCGGCGCTCTGTGCGATCCGTTCGCTGAAGCCGGAGAGTTTTGGCTTGACAGAATTCAGAAGCGATCAAACGGCTCGTCAGCCTGACCTTTTCAAACCATTACCGAACGCTTCCTCTCGCTGAAAAACAGAAGGCGAATGAAACCGCGTGACGGCTGTCAGCAGATGAATTTGCCGTCGTTAGCGCTTCCGTGAGACTCTGGGCCCTGGAGTCACGTCCGCCTCGAATCTTCATCTCATTCTGCATTCGTCATTTGATCAAAATAGTTGGATATGTCAAGCTTAAACAGTTTTATAAGCACACGCGAGGTTCATACGGCAGAATCTAGGCCTTCTGACAGGCATCACAACTGCCGCTTGCTGTTTTCTGCTTTTGCTTTGCATACAGTTCTGAATTTCTCACTTGCTCAGCATTCCCGCAATCCCCCACTCGGCTCCTATAGAGAAGGAACTGGTGATGCACCACTGTTAGACCGGATCTGATGATCCACGATCCACGATCCTCAAACACAAACACTGCAGAAGAGTTTAGTGCAGATATCAGATCACAGCAGCTTAGTTCTGTTCCTCTGACTATATTCACACACTCGTTTCTCAGCTTTCTGGCATGTCTTTTCTCGCTCATGTCAGCGGTGAGTTCTCCGCAGAAGGAGACGTTTTGCTCAGTGATCATATACACCGCTGCAGATGGATTTTACGAGGCATTTCGCACCCAGAGGGGAAGATTCTGGGTGCTCCTGAGGGATTATGGGTAACAGAGGAACGAACTGATGGGCTTATGGCTTCCTTTTTTCCTGTGTTTTCCTCACGGCACCTTTTCATTCCCATGTAAATGGTGGTTTAGCTTGGAGTAGGAGACATTTAATAGATCAAGAGGAGTGAATAATCGGGCAAAAATCATTTACTGACACTGATGTTGTTCTAAACCTGTATGAACAGGTTTTTGAAGAAAGATTTCACTGCTTTTATACATTACAGTGAAAACAGACTAAACTAAATAACAACCAAAAAAACAACATAAAAGCATCATACAGTCTTGAAATGAAAGGTTCTTTATTGGCTTCAAGGGTTCCACAAAGAACCTTTAACATCTATTCCACAAATGTTCTTTATAGTGAAAAAAACAAGATAAAATGATGGTTTTAAGAACTTTTCACTAAAAGGAATTGCATTTCTATTGCGTTTAAGAAATGCACTTCTAGAATCTCATTTGTATTTTATTAAATATGTTTAAAACATGAGATATGACAACAGACAGCATTAGTTTTCATGTAATTGGAGAGATTTGAGAGCTGTGGGAAGACAAAATCTTTCAGGTTTGGAACAACACAAGGGTTTTTTTCGTAGGATACCCTAAAACAGGGCTGCACGATTTCGAATATTTATGAAATGTTAAATGCAGTATTAAATGAAATGCAATATTAAATATTATTTCAGTGTAGAATACTAAATTGCATATTTAAGAAAATAATATTATTATATTGTTATAAACAACATCAACTATAAAAATAACAGTGCTGTTTATGGATTTCTTCATTTGTACAAATTAAACCTTAAAGCTTTTATTTTGGCAGAAAGCAGAAAGCCATTTTTTTGAGCTGCTCACGTGTAAATGAACACAGCGTCACGCTTCACTCTGACACACACAAAAATATAAATGTGCTAATTAAATCACAGCCTTTTTGATTTAAGTTAAGCCATATTGTGATTTTGGTTTTATTTTGTTTAATCATGCAGCCCTATCCTGAAATATGAGCATCAAGCTACAGGAAGTCCATCCTTCTTTCATTCTGACTCTCTCTCTTTCTCTCTCTGTTTATCAATCACATTCTCAGATGAAATCAGTTGTTGTCATGATAAGCTGAGAGTATCACACACACACACACACACACACACACACCCCGTATCTGATCTCTGCAGAACTGCATCATGGACTTCTGATGATAACAATGACCTTTGAGGTGACCTCTCCCCTCCTCTAGTGCTGCTGTGTGTCTGATGCCTGGCCTGCAATTGTAAACTTCCCCCGGCCCGTCCCGCCTCTGCCTGCTTCGCTCCTGTACAAAGGTGCAATAAAAGCTTTGTCACGATGTTTTCACATATTTTACCGCAAACACACACACACACACACAGGCGATCTGACCGCTCACACCTGCAGCTACAGATGAAACAGTCGATGGCCATATTTGCAAGAGTGTCCTTTGTTAATTCTCTATATTTTTTACTCTGTAAAGACTAATTAATGTGTAAAAACGCTTCGCTCCTGTACAAAGGTGCAATAAAAGCTTTGTCACGATGTTTTCACATATTTTACCGCAAACACACACACACACACACACAGGCGATCTGACCGCTCACACCTGCAGCTACAGATGAAACAGTCGATGGCCATATTTGCAAGAGTGTCCTTTGTTAATTCTCTATATTTTTTACTCTGTAAAGACTAATTAATGTGTAAAAAAACAAGAAAATGCTGAATGTTCAACTGGAGATGTAATTAATGACGTCATGTGGCTTCGTCCATTTGCCTTGCCTGAGTCTGGATGTGTAAAAACCCTCCTGTGGTCCTGAGTTCAGTGTACAGACCCTCCTCTGTCTGTCTCTCTCTCTCTTTCCACCGTCACAGTGCCGCTGTTCGCACCGGATTCACTGTTCAATTTGACCCAATGTGGGTTTTTAACAGCCAAAACTAACAGCTACCTAATAAAAGCTTTGTCACGATGTTTTCACATATTTTACCGCAAACACACACACACACACACACAGGCGATCTGACCGCTCACACCTGCAGCTACAGATGAAACAGTCGATGGCCATATTTGCAAGAGTGTCCTTTGTTAATTCTCTATATTTTTTACTCTGTAAAGACTAATTAATGTGTAAAAAAACAAGAAAATGCTGAATGTTCAACTGGAGATGTAATTAATGACGTCATGTGGCTTCGTCCATTTGCCTTGCCTGAGTCTGGATGTGTAAAAACCCTCCTGTGGTCCTGAGTTCAGTGTACAGACCCTCCTCTGTCTGTCTCTCTCTCTCTTTCCACCGTCACAGTGCCGCTGTTCGCACCGGATTCACTGTTCAATTTGACCCAATGTGGGTTTTTAACAGCCAAAACCAACAGCTAGGTGGCTGATCAGATTTAATGAGGTGAAATTAAATTATTGAAATGAAACATTCTAAACTCTTAAAAATGAAAGTTCTATATTGGCATTGATGGTTCAGTGGAGAACCTTTAACGTTTATGAAAGGTTCCACAGATTTTTCAAAAGAATATTCACTTAAAGGTTCTTTGAGAAACCAAAAATTGTTCTTCTATGGCTTTGCTGTGAAACCCCCCATTGAAAAATTTATTTTTAAGAGTGTATTTTATACATGATGTGCTCAAAAGTCACTAAACTACAAAACGGGAGAGTTTTCAGCGTTCAGCGCCCGTGGTCCATGATCTCAAAAATCAGCCAGTTCTGGGTCAGATCTGAAAAGTGAACCTGCTGGTTTTGATTGAGTAACATCAGACATGTTGCAGATGCCGGCACCACTTCGGTGGTTTCTCTCTGTTCTCGTGTTTTCCCATCATTTCCCCTCCTGATCGAGAGTCCCAGTGGAATGTTCTTGTTCTGTGCTGATTCGTTTGCTCTGGTTGGTTTGTTTTGTTTCTCTCTCTCTCTCTTCCTTTTTTATTTTTAGTTTTAGCTGTAAAATGCTTCCTTGAGAAATTGTTTGTCTGAATAAAACTGGAGTTTGTCCTCGTCCAGTTCTTCTCCATCTGTGAAGCTCTTTTCTGCTTGTGTGTCTCTGTAGGAAACAGCTCGCTGTGAGTCTACACAAGGTTTGAGAACTGGTTCTCATTATGAATATAATATAACTGAACCGTTTTCATTGCATTTGGTTCCACTAGCAGTTTTTGAACGTCTGAAATGGTGTTGTTTCAATCCATCAACAAATATTTGACCTCGATTTGTGCATTTAAAGTCACGCTGAAACTGAAGTAGCAGCAAATAATTTCTTCCATATTGTGGAAGAATCCACAATCTATATCCATTTTCTAAAAAAATGTAGGGCGGGACTTGGTTCTATGCATCAGTTGATTGGATGTTGATGGATTAGATGCGGAGTGGCACTCAAAAGTGACGGCAGATTACAATGAGTTTATAATTTCTACTTTTTACTCAGTTTTGATTTAGCATTTCATAATTTGAGCTTTATATCTCATCATTTTGATTTAGTATTTTTATAATTTCCACTGTTGTTTTATTCAAGCAGTATAAATGCCTGGAGAAGTCATAATTTCAACTTTATAGCTCATAATTTTAACCTTTATATCATAATTTTAGCCTTTTTTATCTCATCATTTTAATTTAGTATATCATAATTCCCACTGTTGTTTTGTTCATGCAGGATAAATGACTGGATAGATCATCATTTTTTTACTTTTTATCTCATAATTTTACTTAGTATTTCATGATTTCAACTTTTTATTTCATAATTTCAATTTTTTAAACTGCTGTTTCACCAGAAGGTCCATTTATGACATTTTGGTTAAACATTACAAGGTCAAACGTATCGATTGTTGTCTGAGGCTCTATTTCCCATAGATACGCCCTCAGAACGGCACGCATCCGTCAAAGCTAATGATCTCCAGCGGACACGGCAGACGCTGTTCCTTTGTCTTCATTTGATAAACTTTATTCACCCATTGATTTCATAAGACCCGATTTATATGCTTTAATTCATTAGGCCGGCAGAAAAATCCATTATTTTGTCAGTCACTCTTCCTGAGCGTCTGTGTCGCCCACTCGTTCTCTCTCTCTCTCTCTCGTTTCTCTCGTCTCACTCCATTTAGGACGTGCTAACTGATATGGTTTCAGTGGGACTCTAGAATGTTCCTCTTGTTCCAGAAATCTTTATTGAAGTGGGATCTCCTCACTCTCAGCTCCTCACCTCCGATAAAAGCAATTTTGAGCTGACAGCGGCCGTGGAGTTTATTTACAGACGGTAGCATGGGAATTTGTACCATCTGGACTCCTTAAAATACCTGCATTCAACATGTCAATTTGTCCCCTTTCAGAGTCCGTCAGAAAACAACAGAGATGTTTCAGAGGTCTCCAGAGGGATTGTGGGTAGCTGCAACATATGCCAGAACGTGTGTTCCCTCTATGAGTGAGACAGCAATTAGCATTAGTCTATTATTTCCCCGTATTATGGACCAATATGACAGGGATTCAGATTTGATGAATGGAATTAAAAGGTAAAACTCTTTTTTTGTGTTTCTTCCAGTTTTGTGTCCAATATCCGCAACATTAAAATTTTTTTTTTGGTAAATCATAATTTTGACGTATATCTTAATTATGCCAAAAACGACAAAGAAATTGAGTGCTTATGTCAGAATTATAACTTTTCCCCATAATTTCCACTTTTATCTATTAATTTGGACTTTTCAACTTTTTATCCTATCATTTCAATTTTCTTTATCTATTTAAGACTATTCAAACTATGTATCTCATCATTTTGACTTTTTAACTCAATGTAGTATTTCATATTTTCAGTTTATCTCATAAGTTTGAATTTTTGTATCACAATTGTCAATTTACTTTTTATCTCATAATTTCACGTTTTTAATTTCAAAGTTTCAATTATCGCCATAATTTCAACTTTTTATCTCATAATTTTGACTTGCCTCATAATTTCAACTTTGCTGTAATTATGACTATCCCATAATTTCAACTCTTTATCATAAATTCAAATTTTATCTCATAATTTTAACTTTTTGTGATTTTAAACTTTCAAAAATTTTGATTTTTATCCTATAATTATGATTTACGGTGTCATTTTAATCTATATAAATTTTTTCATAATTTCAGTTTATCTCCATAATTTCAACTTTTTACCTCATAAGTTTGACTTCTCATAATTTCAACCTTTTGTCATAATTATGACATTTTATCTCATAATTTCAGTTTAGCTCAATTTAGACATTTTTATCTCATAATTTCACCCTTTTGTCATAATTATGATTTTTATCTTATAATTGTGACTTGCATGCCATAATTTGGATTCATCTCATAATTATGACATTTTATATCATAAATATGATTTACCAAATCATGTTTTTTTTCTTATGTGGTGGAAATGTGCTTTCCAGCATGAGAAGAGTCCTGATCATCTAGTGTCTCGATATTGCAGGACGACACACACACTGAACTTTCATTTGAAATTTAATTTGGAGTTTGGAAAAATCCCTAGTCATAACCATGTGCTAATCTTCGCCTTGGCAAATATCACTAACTAGCGTGAGCTCATTCATATTGAAAGGTGGATTGTGATGAGATAAATTCAAAGGCCTTTCTGCACTAATGATGAAGACGGCAGGTGTTTCTCGCTCAGATCTGATACACTAACCACTAGAGGACGTGCTGCTCTTCCCACACTGCCATATTAAAGCAGAATAACGGCCTCATTCAGCCTGTCAGTCAAGCCTAAAAGGCACTGAACTTCTGCTTTCCCTCGTGTTTGACCTTCACTGCTTGAAATACGCGCACACACACACGCCTGCAGCAGTGTCACGGCAAATCCAGTCTACATGCACTGGCCTGATCTCAACTGTCTGTAAAACTCATATTTATATTTATGACACCGACGCTCTTAAATTCTCCATTAATCCACTTAATATTTCAGAGCTGAAGCATATGGCTGAAAACAAAGCAGCTCCGCTCATGAACGCTACTTTATCAGATAAAAATGCCATCTAAACTATTCTGAAGACAGTCGGTTCCCTTCAGAGATACATTCATATAAAACACCCGCGACGCGTTTTGATTTTGAAATGTCCAGAGCTCATGTTTATTCAACGAAGTCAAACGCCACAAATAAATCAATGTATGGGAAACACTGGTAACGTATAAAGAAATATCGGAAATGTGTTTAAAAATCATATCACCGTTATTGAAAAAAATTATATCGCGATACATATTGATATTGAATTATTGTCCAGCCCTAGATTCAGGTTAGTCAACTATGAGCTGTTTCTCTGTTCCGTCAGATTTCACTGCTTTGTGGGTCTTTTCACACACATATGTAACTAAAACAAATGTTAACCTTGAATCTTAACACTCAATCTGACCTTTGACATCTGGCCTTGAGGTCAACGGGATTCAAATAACTGAGGCTGCATTCGAAATAACATACTTCCCTACTGTATAGCAGGCAAAAAAACAGTATGTGACAAAAGAAGTATGTCTGAATTCATAGTACTTATGAAGGAGTAGGCAAAAAGTACCCGGATGACCTACTTCTGCCGTGATTCTGAAGTAGTAGTAGTGCATATGATGGACATTTTACTATCCCATGAGGCCACAGAGAGACAGAGGATTTATGAGTGGCAGTGACACCACACCAATTACTAAATACTTAATGATATGTATCTTTTCTGAAACTTCTTTAGAACATCGACAGTACAAAATAATGTCTTGACTGTAAATCTAGTTCTAACTGACCTTAAAAGACAACTAATATATAATTGAATCCACATTGAGTTAAATAATGACTCTATTGTCTTGAGTAGAGCTGCTTGTGCTAAAATTCAATCTCTTTCAGTATTGATGAATTTTGCAGTATTAACACATCGAACTGAATTGAATCAGCATTGAACTAAACTGAGCTGAATAATGACACTAATGTTCTGTAGAACAGCTTTACAGCTGCAAATTCTTCATAATTGATTAATTTTGCAACATTGACACTGTTATTGAACTAAACTGAATTTAATAATGACACTATTGTCTTTCTGCTGCTTTACAGCTCAATTGAAATTATTGAAATTTCATCGTTTAACTTTACAACCAAGTTTTTGAACTAAATTGAATTTAATAATGACTCTGTTTTACAGCTGAATTTGAATCTCTTTCATAATTGATTAATTTTGCCACCTTGATACTGTTATTGAACATAATTGATTTAAGATCAAACTGAATTGAGTTGAATAATGACAAAATCGTCCTCCATAGAGCTGCTTTACATCTGAAATTGAATTTGTTTTACATTTACTGAGGTATTGAAGTAAATTGAAACAAAATTTGAACTAAACTGAGCTGGATAATGATCTGTAGAGCTGCTTGTGAAATTGAATTTTTCATAATTGATTAAATTTACTACACTGATATTGTTATTGAACTGAACTGAATTACCATTGAACTTAATTTGAGCTGAATAAAGGCATTGTTGTCTTCTGTACAGTAGATTAACTGCTTAAATCATTTCATAATTGATGCATTTTGCAACATTGACACTGTTTTTGAACTAAGCTAATGACACTATTGTCAATATTGACAGTTTTTGAGCTGAACTGAATCATTGAACTAAAGTGAATTTAATAAGGATGTTATTGTCTTTTTTAGAGCTGCTTTACAGCTGAAATTGAATTTTTTATAATTGATGAACTTTGAAACACACTGCTATTAAACTGAATTAAATCAACACTGAACTAAATAATGACTCTATTGTCTTCTGTAGAGCTGCTTTCCAGCTGAAATTGAATTTGTTGCTTTTTTAAAATGATTGTTTTCCGGTTTATTTCTATGAAGCTGATTTGAAACAATCTGTATTTTATAAAGCTACATAAATAATCGTGACCTTTGACCTTAATCCTGAACCACAACCATGACAGTGCTGAGGACGTGATTTTTCCCTTAAATATATAAAAATAATAATTCTTCTAGTTGCCAACATTTTTCTTTCTTATTTAGTTTAACTTGATGTACTAAAGTAACTAAAACTAAATCTGAAATAAAAAATGTATAACATTTTCTAAATGATGTCAGGCTGGTTCTAATGACACTTCAACCCAAATCAGTCCAGACTAAAAATAATGCAGAACATAATATATATATATATATATATATATATATATACATGTGTGTGTGTGTGTTTATTTATTTATTTATTCATGGGCCATTAGAGGTAAACAAAGTTCACTAATCAGCAAAGCTATCTGCGATAAAAACTGGTGTCTTTATGATTACAAAAAAATATAATAAAATACATTAAAATAAGGTGTATACTTTAATTTATAGATATAGTAACAAATGCAAATGCAAGTGCACAATCAGCAAAACACAGGCCCTCCTGTGACCCCTCATCCTTCTGTTTGCTCAATCATTTTCGTTCTATTTCCAGAATAAAAGCGCCGACATTGAATTTGACATGAAGTTAAAGCATCATTCAGATGTTGATAGTGTAATAATTGTCTCTCATGCGGTGGTAATGAGCATCTGCCTCCTCTGATAACTGCTGCAGTGTCTGCGCTCGTAAACACTGACCTGACTCTCACCGGGAGCAAACGTCCTCACACCCTCCAGCAGACACATCCAGCCTTCCCAAAATAACCCGAGCATCAGTGCCACAGAGTCTCAGGGTGCTCAAAAGTGTTTGAGCCGAGAATGACTGAGATTGTCATCCTTAAATCGCTATTATCACAGATAGTTTCAGCTGGGATTTTCTTGGCCTGTGCAAGGGAAACAGATTTAAGTGTGTTAACATGGAAAAACACTCAATATAAACATGCAAAATCTTCAAAGCACTTTCAGTTGTTCCAATTGGAGTGTGAATTGTGTGAACACACATATTTTATCCCCAGCTAACAATTCTAGCTCCCAGAACGTTCCCAAAACAGATATTTTAATGTTCTCTGTTGGCTTGCCAGAAAAGCCCATACAGCAAAAAAATAAAAATAAAAATAAATGATATATATATATATATTTTATTATTTATTTTTTTTCAAATATTTGTTTAAATATATTTAAAAATATACAAAAGTAAAATGGCCAAAAAATATATTTGCTAAAATATATTTAAGAATATATTTACGTAAATATATTTTCTACCAATATAGGCCTAATTTGGCTCAATTTTTGAAAATGCACTCAAGTTATTTTGCCCCCCATATATTTCAATCCAAGCGAATACATTCCCATACGTCACATCTGAAGGAAACCCTTCATTTGCTTATATGCTACTGTAAGATTGACTAAATATATTATTAACTTCAAAAACATATTTCATTGACTGTAACGGTTTACAACATATATTTTGTCCAGAAAAGCTATAGAATTTACCACATGGGTGTTTCTTTACACAAATAGAATATTCCCTGTAGGTTTGGAGAGCTATTGTTTAATTAATAACAATAGTCTGAACATATCAACCATAATACGTTAAGATGCGTCTAATATGTAAGACTTCCTAAAGCGTCTATGTTTTATTCAGTGATTAAACTATAACTGGCTTGTAAAAGAAAGACTAACAGTTCAAATCTGTCCAGCTGGAGCTGCCTGTGTTTTCAGCCAACACTCAACCTGGATCCCAGCAAACACACCGACATATACAACGCCTGGTTAGACAAATCAAGAGTCTTCATATTTCAATGGCAGCTCTCTGGAGTATTTCTCACTGTGGCCATCACTGCTGCTCAGGATACAGCCCTCTGCTGGCCACAGCGAGACAAACGGAGGAGTCACATACCCTTTCCAACGAATACAATAAGCTAAATTGACAGGTTATTACATTATATACACTCACATCACCGCCACTTTAATATACTGCATGTTATAATGGATTAATTTAGTGACTACATCTGTAACTAAACTTACCAGGAAAGACACAAGTACTGTGGAACTAGGCTTAATATTATTGTATTAATATTGTTGGAAATGTACTTAGATAATATTGTGTTTAAGTAAATACAATAGCTATGTAAACCTTATCATTCATACTGAATAACAAAACATACATTACGCACTCCTTCGCGGTTAGATGATGCTTATTTCCGCTTCCGACGCAACTCTGAGCCAATCAGAACGACGCATTGCCCAGCAGCACTATTAGAGTTAGCGGTTAGAATGGGAAGCGAAGATAAAGTAGGCGGGGCTTAGCGAGGCCCGGATGTAACTCTCCGTTCAATGTGTATACACCGTTCTTTGTATCATTATTCAGGTGTGATTGTTTTATTCAACCCTGCTGCTGAAGAATCGTAAATGTGTATCTGAAATGATTTCCATGTGGCTCCATCGCGTCTCTGGGCCACAGAGCGCCCCCTGTAGGAAAGCAGCTGCACTGGCCAAAGCCACTAGAAGGCAAGCCTGCAAGCATTAGCAGAAAAAGCGTAACGGATAAAGCTAACAGAGGCCGTTTTTTTTTTTTTTTGAATGGATGTCAGTGGAGGAGAGGCTTCACTGCGTAGAATAAACAGCTTTTTTTTTTTAGAGGAAACGGCTTATCATTTAATGAATCGACAGCCTATCTGCTAATCTTCAATATGTTTTACACTAAACAATACTTTTGGATTGAACAAAAGAGTTTACCACGAAAAAAATGCCGTTTTATGAGAAAAGTCACTAACTTTTTGCGACAGCTGGGATTCAGTTTACGGCACTTCTCATTCATTTCTATGGTATCCGTAAACGGCGACTTGCCCTGCGTTCCACTCGGAAGGGCTCATCCCTACGCCCTAATCCCTTCAAAGGGTTTTCCCTCCGGAGTGAGAGCTTGGAAGGGTTGAGGGGTGTAGGGGACCAAACAACTGTTCCTTGAAGTGCACTTCTGCGCCATCATCACGGAAAGAATCAGCGCAAAGGATCATGGGAGCCCGAGGTGTCCATCAGTTGTACCCTTCGAAATCCTTCATTCCGAAGGGCCCTTTGAAGTGGACAGTTTTGAGCACTTCGGTTTGGAACGACCCTTCAACATGGCGGCCATGATTGTTTTCACTCCGAAGTGCCCTTCAGAGGGCGATATATCCCGTTTGTGTCGCACAACTCTGACTGAAGTGCGAGGACGTCGAGGCTGTAATGTGATTGGTTATTAAGGGACACGTGATCCAAGTCAGCCGTTACGCTTTCTCCAATAGTAAGTAATACAAAGGCTCTGGTGGCGCGTGGCGCCCAGTGGTTTCTAGGCAGGTAACTAGGAAGTGAACGCGCTGAAGCTCCTCCTCCCACGTGTAACCGGCGGCGGCGTGACGCGGGTGGAAGAAACCGGCGGACCGGCGCGAGACAGTCAGGTATTTATAACGGACAAATGTGTTACGTAACGTTACAGGTTTAAATGGGCTTTTAAAGAGGATCTGGAGTACTCGGTTAGTGTTCTTCGACGTGTACCATAGTATTTATATGGTAAGTTACTTCGAAGAATACAATAACACCTCCGGGGTAGGTGTCAGAGATGAGTGTGGTACCATAGCACTTTGTCTTTGTGGTACTTTTAGTTAGTGCGGCCTTGGAGAGCGAAGAGGGGCGACGACCCCCGGCCCCCGGCCCCCGGCCCCCGGCGCTTTCTCTCCGCTGCTGTAGCCAGGACTGAAGATGGCAGATGAGCCGAGCGCGGCGGACAGAAATGTGGAGATCTGGAAGATCAAGAAACTCATCAAGAGTCTGGAAGCGGCGAGAGGGTTTGTGTGGAAGCGTTTGAACGATAAACGGAATAATAAAAGTGTTTCATGTTGCGTTAGTTTAGTGGTTGACATCTGGACTGTGAACTGAAAGGTTATAGTTTCAAACCCCACAAAGATTAATTTATTACATGCCAACACATGTATTTATAAAAACTAAGGTTTGTACAGTTTGTATACGAGACCATGGGCCACAAAACCAGTCATAAGGGTCCATTTTGATTTCCATTTATGTATGGTTTGTTAGGACAATATTTGGCCGAGATACAACTATTTGAAAATCTGGAATCTGAGGGTGCAAAAAAATCTAAATATTAAGAAAATCGCTTTTAAAGTTGTCCAAATAAAGTCCTTAGCTATCAAAAATTAAGTTTTAATATATTTACAGTAGGAAATTTACCAAATGTCTTCATGGAACATGATCTTTACTTAATATCCTAATGATTTTTGGCATAAAAACCCATACAGTGTATTGTTGGCTATTGCTACAAATATATCTGTGCGACTTATGACCGGTTTTGTACTCCAGGGTCACATATATCATGTAATTCATATCTGGAGCAGAAGGGGTAAAGAATATGCTCAGACGTGTGCACAGAGAGAGTTCAATTGAATGTGGTTTTCTTCCTAATCCCTAATGTTTGAGTATGAGCAATAGTAATGGTGATTCTGCCTTAGTAAACAGCATTAATGACAGGTTAGTCCAGCCGCAGGGCCGGGCAGCTCTCATGATGGTGTCAGATACTTCACTTCAGACCTTCTGTGTGTGTGTGTGTGTGCGCTTGAGTTTTGAATCGCAGTGAGTTTCAAACAGGTGTGTTTTGTGCCTAATGACTATAATCACACATTAATCATGCAGTGCATTTATTATAGGTTCAGATAAGAGTCTTGCTCAAGGACACAATTGTTATTGTTCATGGTCAGCTTTTGCTGCATTTGAACCTAGAACCTACTTTTTGGCAGGCGTTTTGCTGTGGGTTTTGAAACCGAGATTAGCTTTGCTGGATGAAGAATGTGGATCCGTGAGCTCTTGATCAAGGGTAAAGCAAGTGTACATGGGTCTATTTGAAGAAGAACCGCTGAGAGAGCGTGTAAATGCGTCATCGGCATGACACTCGTGCTTTCATTCTGACAGGTAGTTATGTAGAGCATCACAACAATATGCTGACCTTCACGCCACGTGTGTGTGTGTGTGTGTGTGTAAATTATGCAGAGCGTGTTGGTCTGTGTTTTGTCACCAGCGAGACCTGATAACTCCTCACAGCTCAGTGTGGACGGTGTAAACCCAGCGTTTGAAGTCAGTCTCTGTTTTAGCAGCAGTTTGTGTGAGAGTAACTCTAGAAATGCCACTTTTGTCAGCTGATTATACTGAGGCCTTTCACCCCTTTGTGACTCTCTGACTGTTGTAATAACTAGTGAGCTCCCAATCTAGGCACCATTATAAGGCATCATACATGCAATAGCTGATAACATACAGAGAAGGCAATCCCAGAATGTACTGTGTAGAAAAATCTAAGAGGGCAAACAAACAGGTGTTTTTTTTTGTTTTTTTAAGTATAACAAAGATTATTGGAGTATGTTTTAAAAGAAAATACCATTTCAGTCTTTCTACTTAACAGTTTCACCTTTAATTTGATGTGTTACTTGCTGATTCTTTGTAATTGGGTCAAGGACAGAGATAGTGTTTTTTAAGCATTAAAACAATAAAAGTTAAATACAGCTTTTGTTATTAATATTTTTTGTTCATTTGAATGTGTCTTGTTTCATTTTTTTTTTCTGAGCAAAAATAATGACTATTATACAATTTTACCATGATTTACAGAAGGCGCCCACTAAAATGTCATTCAGTGTAACAATAGATCATATAACAAAAATAACATATCAGGCATATTTACATCAAGAATCATTAGATGACATCAAAAGACATTCAAGTAGACGCTTCACTTGCATTTGAGATGCTTTCTATGTACTGTATATAAAATCACTTTTGTGAATTTAATTTGATGCGGACACCAAAATGTGATCCGTTATCTTTGACCCAATTATTTGTAAAATTGGCTATACATTTCTAAATGAAGTTTGTTTCTACACCATATTTTCCACAGTTTGTTAATGCACTTAATAGACTTGTTCGGCATTGCTGGGAACGCCCACAAAAATGGCATAATCGTTAATGCCGTGGGGGAAAACAAACCATTCGAATTAACGCGCGGAGACCTTGTTAGGCACTTGATCTTTACTTTTTGTGATGATTTTGATAGATTTTTGCTTGGTGCAATGCCGAAAAGTTGCTGTGTGGCGTTAAAACCCCCCTGATCTGATACACTGCAGTGATCTGTCGTTAGTCCCGTCCCCCTGCACCGCAGCCCAGTTCTGATGGGGCTTACAGTAACCCTCCTTCGCATCGCAATCAAATAAATCTCACTCCCTGATATTTTGTGATGTCATAATCTATTAAAACATTTATTATACACAATCCCTTACGAAAATTAGCAATGGTATTACTGTAGTAAAAGTATAGTAGGCTAACTGTTTTTTTTTTGGCGTTTTTATTACCAATTGTAGCCGATAACCACAGTTTTACTACAAATACCATGGTTAAACTATGGTTAGTGTAGCAAAATATGTTGTTTTTACCATGGTTTAACTATAGTAGCCAATAACCATGTTTTTTGGTATTTTATTTACATATTTTCATGTTATCTTTATTTTAAGGCATGTATTTGTAAAAATGATTAGGTAGCCGCGGCACACACCACATAGAATAACGCTGCGCATTTCAAGGCACTTCAGTGGACCTTAATGTTACCTGTTTTGTCAATGTTAAAAAACGTTTTAATATATCAATAAGAAAGTACGACAGGCTTTTACTGAAGTCTTTATCACTTTATTAAAATTAAGCAAAACAAAACGACAAATGTTTACTTTCACAAGCTGTCTCGTATAGGCTTGTAGTAGTCTAAGCTGTCTCTTGCTCAATTAGGTAACAAAAGATGTCGGGAAATGACACCTCTGGCCATTCTGTTGGGTCGTTTGTCCAGTCACAGACACCGTACGGACAGTCCGACCCAATACAGCTCAGTTTTTATGCGTATGTTGCTCTGTCGAGCGGCAGGAATAATTTTATGTTGGCCATTCTGAGTCAACACCATGCTTTTCCAATGAGGGGGAAAGGACTGTTTTCCCCCACGCCGACTCCAGCCACACACTTATGAAGCGACACCGATCAAGTCTATATTCAAGTAATGGCAAATAATGAAAGATTTGAGAAAGACCTGGTCTATTCATGTCATTTCATCTCATTGGACAATGTTTCATCTGGAAATGTCACGTTACAGAAGTAAAATTGTGTGCAAATGCCAATTTAATGTTGGACTTTTTTTTTTTTTTACTTAAATATTG